CTGATTGGATTTTAAATATCTGCTTCATTTTACAAAAACCCAAGCACGGACTCATAGGACTAGATGGAACTCAGAAGCAAGACCCTGTAGGTACTTTCCCCACGTAGCTTGTCAGAGTAGGTGTCCAGTCAATCACACTGCAGAGTCTGTGCTTATTAAACGATTTAAGAGTTTTAGCCATCTACCCTTGAATTAGCTTTAACAACCCCAGAGATTTTTTTTTCTGTCTTTCTCTTCCCGGACTCCTACTTCCTTCCAGCCTTTGCGACAGGCCTAGCTAGAGGCAGAGGCGTGGCTTGGCTTTCCATCCCGCGGCCTCCCCTCCAATCAGCCGTGTCATGGTGGAATTTTTATTAGCCATAACTTTTTTTACTGGCTAGATTAATGTGATTGAAAGCATCGCACCCAGTAAATACTGTCTGCTATTTGTTTTAGCAATACCTGTGGAAAAAGGGCAATTGGGACCCAGGCACAGCAGAGCTGGTGAAGCCATTGGCTGCGCAGAACTCGTTGGGGGCCCCTTTGACTGATGACCAGGGGATGCTCTTCTTCGAGGGAGGTCCGCCCAGCAAGAGGCTCCATTGGTGCATGCGGCTGCCATGTGTAGCCATGATTCACTTCACTGACTATCAAAGCTTTCTACAACTTTGCTTGCTGACTTTTGACCAGAGGTTCCCTTTCAACACAAGGAAAATCTGCCTAGAGAGAGACGGAGAGAAAGCACACGGCAGGGAAATAAATGGCAGCCGTGTTCCTGGCGGTCTAGATTTTATGGCCCGAGGCGCTCCTGCTTGAGTCTGCCCCGTGGTGCTGCCTGGTGGATGTGTTTGGTGGCATTTTATGGAGCATGGTTTATAATCAGCATGGATTATTGTAACAACAACAAGGGGTATATTCAACAAAACCTTGTTGGATGGCAAAGACCCTACACAAAACCCTCTTCAGAGGCCTGGGACCCAAGCCGGAGTGTTTATTAAATCACCTTCGGAAATGTCCTTTCACGGAAGCCTATGTGTTTGGAAGCAGATTTTAAAAGAAGGCTCCGGGTCTGCAAGCCATTGGTCCCCATCTGTTTTCTCCCCTCTGACCTTGGTTGTTTGATTACCTGGTCATGACCCCTTCTCGAGTGGAGTAAATGTTCTGCACAGACAGTTGGTAGAAACTTCACCTTTAGGTCTCCAGCTCTGCCTGGAGTCCTCTTGCTCGTTCCTTCCTGGAGGAGAAAAAAAAGAGCCACATTTCTCTTCTGTAAAAGAAAAAAAGTTATGAAAGAGAAGCACAAATAGAGAATGAGCCAAATTGCTAAAGGGGATCAAGAATTGAAATACAGCCTCCAAAGTTGCGTGTACAGAGAGAAACCCTAAAACGTTCCCAAACCCCAACCTGGAGCATTGATCTGCCTGAATTTCTTTAGTCTCAGGCCAGTTTCAACCATTAGAAGACTTACAATTATAAAGTTGGCAGTGGCTGCAGCCCATGGTGGCTGGAGGGGATTCACTTTGTAAATTCAGTTCCTTGGGTAGGTGGTATTGGCAAGATCATCCTGTTCCCTCTGTGCCAACTCTGAAGGCCCAGAATGCCTTTCCTGGATCGAGGTTCAACAAGGCAAGCTGGGAAGAGACTGGAAGGAGGAAGAGGAAGAAAGACCCAAAAAGGTGAAGATGAGGAAGCTACAGGGAGAAGGCAGAAAGGTAGAAGTCACGAATGAGAGGGGAACAAAGAGGAGAGAGCAGTGTGCAATGCAGAAAGAGCGAGGGAAGTGAAAGGGGACAGGCAGAAAGGTAAGGAAGACATCTTTGGGAACTAGATTTAAAAATCATGAGACGCCATGGATCTGCCTCCAAAGTAAGACATGCTGCCGAAACTTAGCCAGTAAGTCCCTGCCACATGGCGATACACAGATGAATAGAAATGGGTTAAATCAAGATGTGAGACTTAGCCAATAAGAAGTTAGAGCTAATGGGCCAAGCAATGTTTTAATTAATACAGTTTCTGTGTAGTTATTTCGGGGCTAAACTAGCCGGGTGGTCGGGATGAACAAGCAGCCCTTCCCCTGCAACAATCGTGAATATCTTTTTTTTAGAAATCATAATTTTGACTTCACAAGTTTTCTTCATAGCTTGGGCTATCAGTCTCATATCTGTTCTTTGTTACAACGCCTCCTGAGACCAAGGCCTGTGCAGCATGCACAGGATGAAGGCTCACCTTGTGGGTGTGGATGTGAAATGCTTCGCTTCCTGGACAGGGCATTGAGAGAGGAAGCCTGGATGGATCGCAGCAATGGCTTATTCTGGGAACTGCCATCCAGTCTCCTACCAGGCAGGGGCTCTCATCTCTGCCGCATGTGCAGGGTTTATTTTTCCAAGCATGGTACCTTCTATGACTCACAGGACTCAGATGGTCCTTGCTAATGGGCCCTTGTACAAGTCAAGAATGTGACACACGGCGAGACACGCAGCTCAACAATCACAAACAGCAGCATGGTTAATGGGGGGTGAAGCTTCAGTGGCATGTGTCACACCAAAGGGCCAACGCCCCATTCTCCCTGAGGCCACAGATGAAGGGTCTCCATACTGTGTAATAATGATAAAATATTGCCATCTGTTGGCATGCTGTGTAAGCAGACTGCGACTTACACACCATTGATGATTTTCCAGGATGCCCTTCACGTTTGCCTGGAGAGAGTAAAAAATACTGGGTTAGGAAAAATACAAAGCATGGGAGGCTGAATGTCTGTAGGAGAGATAAAAGCAACGCCCTGGATGTTCAAATCGGAAGAAAACAGAGGGCATCGCCTTAGTCCAGCTGAGCAGAAATAAAACTGCTCAAAGCAGCTGGCCTCCCATTCAATGAATCAGAGGGTTTGGACTTCCGATGCGATGTGTCATGAAATGGCACTAGAGACGCCAGAGTCCTGTAGGGAGTTTTCCATCACGTGTGATC